GCAACTGAAATGTCCTAATGGCTAGAGGGGGGTGAATAGCCTAATAAAAATTTCTACAACAACACTTAACAAAAAGGTTAGACAATTATGAGGCGAAACAAGTGTTGCGCTAGCCTACTCAAAATGCAAGCCACCTACCACAATTCTAGTTTAGGTAGAATCTATTCACACAATAGCTATGACACTAGCCTATGTTAGTGTGCTCTCAAAGGCTAACTAAAGAGCTTGACAACTAGTTTGCGGTAATGTAAAGAGAGTGATCAAGAAAGTTATACCGCCGTGTAGATGAAGGAACCAATCAATCACAAGAGTGAATAACAATGAAGACCAATCACCTCGGAATCAAATGATGAACACAATGATTTTTACCGAGGTTCACTTGCTTGCCGGCAAGCTACTCCTCGTTATGGCGATTCACTCACTTGGAGGTTCACGCGCTAATTGGCATCACACGCCAAACCCTCAATAGGGTGCCGCACAACCAACACAAGATGAGGATCACACAAGCCGCGAGCAATCCACTAGAGTACCTTTTGGCTCTCCGTCGAGGAAAGGTTAAGAACCCCTCACAATCACCACGATCGGAGCCGGAGACAATCACCACCCTCCGCTCAACGATCCTCGCTGCTCCAAGCCGTCTAGGTGGCGGTAACCACCAAGAGTAACAAGCGAATCCCGCAGCGAAACACGAACACCAAGTGCCTCTAGATGCAAACATTCAAGCAATGCACTTGGATTCTCTCCCAATCTCACAAAGATGATGAATCAATGATGGAGATGAGTGGGAGGGCTTTGGCTAAGCTCACAAGGTTGCTATGTCAATGCAAATGGCCAAGAGAGTGAGCTTGAGCCGGCCATGGGGCTTAAATAGAAGCCCCCATGAAATAGAGTCGTTGTACCCCTTCACTGGGTACAGCGCGGGGTGACCGGACGCTCCGGTCGGATTGACCGGACGCTGGCCCTCAGCGTTCGGTCACGTGATTCACGCCACGTGTCCCCTGCTTTAAATACTGTTTGTCAGATTTCAACGGCCGTCTGTTGACCGGACGCTGGACCTCAGCGTCAGGTCGTTTCCAGTAAGGTTCCAAACGCGATTTTTCCTGACCGGACGTGTCTGGTCATGCCCGACCGGACTCACCCAGCGTCCGGTCAGTCAATGTCTCCTCTGTATGCCCTACGTCAGCACTGACCGGATGCACCCTCTCAGCGTCCGGTCGCTGAGTGACCCAGCGTCCGGTCGTTTGACCGACGCTACGCACTTACTGCTGCTACTGACCGGACGCTCCGGTCCAACCGAGGCCAGCGTCTGACCTCCGTCTTTTCTGTCTAGGGCGCCGGTGGAGTTTTCTACCCTTGCTCCCAAACTTCACCACCCTTGATCAAATGTGCCAACCACCAAGTGTATCACCTTGTGCACATGTGTTAGCATATTTTCATAAACATTTTCAAGGGTGTTAGCACTCCACTAGATCCTAAATGCATATGCAATGAGTTAGAGCATCTAGTGGCACTTTGATAACCGCATTCCGATACGAGTTTCACCCCTCTTAATAGTACGGCTATCAAACCTAAATGTGATCACACTCTCTAAGTGTCTCGATCACCAAAACAAAATGGCTCCTACTCTTTATACCTTTGCCTTGAGTCTTTTGTTGTTCTCTTTCTTCTTTTCAACTCCAAGACCTTGATCATCATCATGGCATCATCATCATCATGTCATGATCTTCATTTACTTCACCACTTGGAGTGTGCTACCTATATCATGATCACTTGATAAACTAGGTTAGCACTTAGGGTTCATCAATTCACCAAAACCAAACTAGAGCTTTCAGCAGCGAGCATGGCGGGCAGTTCGCGACAAGCTCTGGCTTAGGCTGGCCAGGATGGTGCAGGACGGAAGAGGGGCGCGGCGACGTTCACGGCCTTGGCGCCGGCAGTGGTGCCCAGGCGAGGAAGACGAAGGGCGGGCTCCTGGTGGCGCTAGGTTCTTTCGTAGTTCATTCTGTGCCTTCGCACGCACTGATAATGGACTAGTGTGTGCTATATCCATGAGCTATTCTCAAGCAACGAACTATATCTATTGCTTAACGCCATAACTTCTCCTTACACGATCCCGATCGACGCTGCACCACCCTCTCCGGTTCTCTCCCGGGCAGCCACACCCCCACCTTTCCCTCCATGTCATCGTCTCACAAAACCATTGCCTCCGGGCTACCATACCATAGTACTTAGATCTGGAATCACCCTAAGAGTTTGTCTGAATGCACTCGTATTCACATAAATCCTTGTGTTGGCGTGGATGGAGGTAGAAATTAAACTAACTTGCATCTTAATTCACCCTAATACATATGGATTAAGTGGATATACGAATGCATATAAACAATGTCTAAGTTGGGAAAATCTAAGTGCATCTAAACAAGGTCTAAGCTGGGAAACAAAGACTTACAAAAAAAGGGATGTACTAGATGGTCATAAGTTATAACGGTCTCTATCTATTTGCCTATTTGCCTCTATGCCATTTTATTTCCAAGCACAAATACTGGTGTAAAGTGAAAGATATGTTTTATCCTTGGGTTGGCACTTGGCACCGCCTCATACAGTAGCTTCAGAATTGTTCCTACATTTTCGCCAGCAGATAGAACATGGGTACAAATTTACTAAGTTTGCTCACATGTCATGGTAGCCACTCACGCCAGCATGAATCCAAGTAGGGATGAAAACGGTACGGATATTTTCCGACCGTATTCAAAACCGAATCCGTTTAAAGGGGTTCAGATCTGTTCGTATCCGAGTCCGAATATTAAACATCCGATACCGTATTCGTATCCGAATACTCAATTCGCATATTTATGATGTCGATATCCAATCGTATCCTATCCGATATGGTTGACACTATCCGTATTCGAATCCGAATCCGGACAGAAATATGAAAACAAATGTAATATCAGTGGTATCCGTTCGTATCCGATCCGTTTTCATCCCTAAATCCAAGTCAGCAAGGCCTTATGATATGTCCATCTTGCCCCTCCCCTCTTCCTACACCTCCAGCACTGCCCACTCACTCACTCGCCTCGCTCTTGCTCAGCCCATTATCTTTGCTCCGCCCCTCCCTACTCTCGCCCCACGCAAACTCGCTGCCATCGCCATCGTCGTTCTTAGAATTTATTCCAAATTTCAAGCTAGTCAAAGATGGAGAGCGGAGTTTGGCTATGTAACACCCCAGGCCCGTCACACGGCACAGGCCCACTCTACCAAGGGGTGGGCTCCACCTACGTAGCAACCCGCTTGCGCTTTCGTCATCGCTTCACGCAAAACGGTTAACCGAAGGTTACTATGCGTCCTTAGCCTGACTATTTAAACTGGTCCAACCGTCCCTCAGTTCCTACTAAACCTCGGATAAACAGTGTTCCGCGATGCTACAGTACCCCATGTACGGTATCTGGGCTACAGTACCAGATTATGCCATCTCGTCGCTACAGCGCTCGCACCTACAGTCCCCCACAGCTACAGCGCGGCCCCAGCACTATTCAATTTGGCCCAGCTCGGCCCATTTAGGCGTTGATGTTTACAATCACCTCCCTTAGGATTCGACGTCCTCGTCAAGCTATCGAACTAGCTTATCCATATGGGACAAATGCTCAGCTGTAGCCGCGGCCCTAGCACTATTCAATTCGGCCCAGCTCGGCCCATTTAGGCGGGGATGTTTACAATCACCCCCCTTAGGATTCGATGTCCTCGTCGAGCTATCGAACTAGCTTACCCATACGGGATAAATGCTCAGGATCGACTCTCTCGGACACATTCATATTCCTAGCTCTCCGGTCTAAGTGTCATGCCCTTGCAGAGCCATGCTCAGCCTGTCCAAGCTTCCGAGCTATACGTCCGTAAAACCACGAGAGTTGACTCTGAAAACTATTTGTAACATCCTAGGTCCGACACATGGCACAGGCCCACTCTACCGAGGGGTGTGCTCACCTACGTAGCAACCCACTTGTGTTTTCGTCCTCGCTTTGCGCAAAATGGTTAACTGAAGGTTACTACACGTCCTTGACCTGGCTATTTAAGCTGGTCTGACCGCCCCTCAGTCCCAGCATGGCACTAAACCTCGGGCAAACAGTGCTCCCGTGATGCTACAGTAGAACGACTACAGTACCTCCACGAGCTACAGTACCCTGATTGGCCCCTCCTTGCAGCTACAGTACCTCCCCGCGCCCCCTGCAGTATTCACTTCGGCGTAGCTCGGCCCATTTAGGCGGGGATATTTACATGTTTGGCTCTATAGAGTGCTCACAAAATATAGAGAAGTTGTTGGAGGATAAAAAGATATAGAGACCGACTTTTATTTATATGGCTCTTCAAATGATGATTTGAAGAGTGAGTTTAAGAAACACTTTTTTATTGAGATGCTCTTGGAATTTATTTAATTGGGTTGAAATAAGATTGGGTAAATCCAATTGACTCCAACAAAAATAACTAGTTCATTGTCATTTTCATGAGTACAGCGCAACAAAAAACTCTAAGTCCCATTACAATCTAAGAACATGTTTGCTATAATTACTTAACTTTGCGTGTAGGTGTTTTGGGTCGTCACTGCTGTTATGTTATGTTGCATGCGGACATTTACGGAAAAGTAGGCATGCAAGTTTTATTGGGTCAAACCCAATGACCCAGTACCTAAAATATTTATCCTGGTGTAAAAATACCCACCGAACCATCCCATATATTAATTAAACTTTTGTTTTTTTTAGAAGAAATTTTGGTGATAGTGGCTGTAGAAAGTGACGAGCCTCGCCGCCAGCAGCTGGGCCTTTTACATGGTGCAATTCACTTGAAACGGCCGGCCCAACCCACATTGCGTAGCCTAGCCCATCCAGTCCATACCCGCAGCAGCGCGTGCGCTTTCTGCCGCTCCACTCCACTCCACTCCACTTCGCCGGCGGCCGTCGCCCGTCGAAGGTCCAACAGATCCACCGAGCCCTCTCCGTCCCCGTCGCCGCGCCATGTCCTCGCCGGCGGCGCATCGGGTCGCCTGCGCCCCAGCATCGCAGCCGGTCTTCCCCGACGAGATCCTGGAGGAGATCTTCCTCCGCCTCGACGCCGCGGAAGACCTCGCCCGCGCCTCCGCCGCCTGCACGACCTTCCGCCGCGTCGTCTCCGCGCGCCGCTTCCTTCACCGCTTCAGGTGCCTCCACTCCCCACCCGTCCTCGGCGTCCTCGATTTCGACGACGAAGCATTCCACCCCACCGCTCTGCCCCTGCCGCACGCGCCCTCGCGCAGGCCGCCGACTTCACCTTCTCCTTCCTCGGCACCCCTCACTGCTGACTGGTCTGCGACGCCCGCGAAGGCCGCGTCCTCCTCTACCGTCGCGTCAGTGTCACCGCCGTGTTCCCTGACCTCATGGTCTGCGACCCCTTGCACCGCCGGCACGTCCAGCTACCCGCCATCCCCGACGACCTAGCGGCTGCTACTGTAGGCTGGGGCATGCAGGGTTGCGATCCCTTCCTCGATCCAGACACTGATAAGGACAAGGAGAACCAGGATTTGTCATTCCGGGTGATCTGCACTGTGCAGTGCGAACACAAGTCGTGACCTTCCACCTCTTCAGTCACCGGACAATGGCGAGGCATCACTTTCAATAGAACAGTTCCTTTGCACTCTAACTTGGTTAGTATTCAGGAGATGTTCGAGCGCCATCACGCTCATGGCTGCTACTTCTGGACTATCGGTGTCGATAGCAGTTTTATGATCATGCTCAACATATATAATATGGAACTCTCTGTTGTTGACCTCCCTCCTGTCATACATGACAACCCGCGAGCACTGGCCATTGTGGAGGCAGGGGAAGGCATGGTAGGTCTGTTCACTCTTCGTGATGGCATGCTACAGCTCTACTATAAGTCTTTGCGAGGAACTGAGTGGCAGCACAAAAGGACAATCACCTTGCCCAAACCAAACAGTTACTGGAGCATCGTTCATGCAGCTGCTGGGTACTTACTCCTAAAAGTATCACAACTGGATGCTTCCCAGTTTGCAATGCAGGGGTCACAGTATTTCACACTCAATCTCAAGACATTCCTAGTCGAGGAGCTGTGCGTTTCGAATAATCGGTACACTAGAGGTGTATTCCTCTATGCGAGTTTCTTATCACCATTCTCACTGCCAAGTATATGATATGGTACGATACAGACCTTCTTTATTTTTTAAAAATTTGGAATTACAGTGTTTTTTATGTGCTCTTGCATCCTACTTATTATCGTAATGCACTTTTGTTTGGTGCATTATCTCAACTCAATTCAATGGTTGTCATGAAGCTCATCTGCCGATTGACTGTTTATTAGAGGCATTCCTGCATTTTATATTTTTATTTGTTGTTTTGAAAGCTGATCAAATAGGCAATGATTTGGTGATTATTGCAGTATTGTTCAGCATGTCAGTGCCAATCAACTTGTTTCACTACCAACTTCAGGTTTTAACTTTTAACAAAGTCAGATTTTAACTACCAACTTGCAGTATTGTTCAGCACAGCGATTGTTCTGGGTCCCATGCTGTTCAGAAACCAGTCCTATGCTTGTTGTAGGCATCGACTGCACGTTGTGAGCAAGGCGTGGATTAAAGCATCGGGGAGTTGTGTCAGTGGAGTTGATGTCTGGGCATCGGATACACTGCGGATGCTCTAATAGGTATTGGCTAAGACTGTAATACAGGATGGTTAGGTGCATAGCTTAGACACCAAAATAAAGACAATTTCTTTTTCTAGAAGAATTATTTTAGATCGCTTCATTTGTATAAACTAAATTTAAGTATAAAAAACCTTCTATTTAGCCAGATGCTTTTTGGAAGCCTGTCATAACTTCCATATAACTTGTAAGCCAACAAATATATTTCAATAATGAACAAGAATAACACAAATGCAGAGCACAAGGTCCATGGAACCTTGGTACTTTTTCAGGACTCCCAAATATCATGTCAACAACTCAAATCACATCAGCTGTAAGGTTAAATGCGGCTTAGAAATATTATGAAAGGGAACAATAACGAAAGTAATAAGATCCACATATTACCTTGAGGGCAGAAAATCTGTTTGGCTTAACTTCAAAATTCGCAATTTGCACTAGCATGGCATTTAAGAGAACTCTCATCTTATCATTGTAACCACCTAAAGAAATCTTTAATAAACATTTAAAGTTAGGAGAGTTCTAACAAAATTAGCATAATACCAGTAACTTCACATTGCATCAGAATTGCAACAGTCAGCATGATAATTATAAATGTAGCTGTTAGGAGCATCCACTGTCACTGAAGATAAAAGCAATCATTGTAACTGAAAATACCTGGAATCCAGCCGAAGTAAGATATATTGAATAGAATAAACCAGCAATGTGAGCATTATAAGCTGCAAAAAATGCAGATAGTATACATTTGAACTTAAAGTTGGCAGTACTCTCTAAATTGATTGTTATGCATGGGAAAAATATAAAAGTACACCAAATTTACAGATTCGTGCTTACCATAAGCATTCAAATAATCTACTAACAAATCAACAAAGAGCTCAGTAGCAACAACTGCTTCAGGGGAGTGGCTGGATAATGGACAGTGGAAATCAATGATAATGTGAACCTTTGGTGTGGAGAACAACATATCAGGCTTATACCATAACTGTGAAAGTGGGCTCTTCCTTAACACTGTTGGAAAGTAACCTGGTAAAGCATTGTCCTTTTCATTAGAGTTATTTACTACGCAAGGTCCCAACAATTCATATGAATATGAGTACGCAGATGATTCTCCTGCATGTTCGAGTAAAAAAAGTACAATGATGTTAGCATTGAGGTACTACAAAAACTAACCTTTTCATGCACTTCTTTAAGAGATAAATCCTTTGGTATGAAGATATTAGGTCTTGGGAGATGGAGTTTCTCAGTAGGGCGTATCCAGTGCAGAGAGCTCCCGCTCTGTGCGGGGTCTGGAGAAGGGTGTCAGTGCCAAGCCTTACCCTCGCATGTGCAATGCGAGGAGACCGCGACTCGAACCCGGGACCTTCCGGTCACAGGCAGTAAGATTCTACCGCTTGCACCAGACCCGCCCTTCATGGAGTTTCTTAGTAGGAGCTTTTTTAATCCATTGCTGTCAAGTAGAGAAAATCAATAACAATATGTTATCACATCAACAGGTTAGGTGAAATAAGATGGAATTCAATAAGACATGGGAATACAAGAAAATGGGACTTTTGAAAAGGTGGACCTGTATCACAGAAGGAGTGACATTTTCAACTGAATATGGTGTGTTATACCAGGGCTCAGCAGAATCGTAGATCCTTCAAATTTTTTGGACCTCCAGAATATTCTAAATAAAGAGAAAGAAGTATTGCATAAAAGAAAGAACAATGGCACAATGGGCAAAGTACATGGAAAATAAATTCAATTATGAAAGTAAAGCGGATCAATCAGCTAGTCGGATTAACATTTTAACTACCACCTATGAAAGAGTTACCCAAATTGTCTTTATGGACTATAAGAGTCAGTTGACTGAGGTCAAGTCCTCGTCGAGGCAAATTTGAGTGCCCTATTTTCTTCTTAATATAAAGCCACCAAGTTACTCCTTGGTCGGTCTTTTTTTCGGGTGGGTATGGACTATAAGATAGCTAGGCCAAACATGTGCTTACATTAAGCATGTGGAGCTTCCCAGATCATGATTTTTCCAAAATTAAACACTGTACATCCAGGCACAGTTCCATCAACTCCTAACACTTCCAATACATATGCATAGGTGAATGAACAAAATCATAAACCGACATTATCAAAGAGCAGCTATATTTGATAAGAGCGAATAGGATTTTATACCAAGCCCAGTATTAGGAATATGCTCAGCATCCACTTTAGTGGTTAGAATATGTTGCAGCAAGTGTGAGTCCCCTTTTGCCTATAAAGGACAAGGGAGTGTCATCGTAAAAAACAAGCCATTGTATTTCCTTTCAATCCAAACGGTTAAGGGCCAAGTTGCCCTCTGGTAGTTCCCAAATCTGAATCTGAGATCTATTTTGGGCCAACAACTGGTATCGGAGCCTTCAGGTTCTTGAGCGAGCAGAGAGCCATGTCCACCGCCAGCCAGATCGCCAGAGCCCGTGCTGCTGCCGGTACCAGGGCCGGAGCAGGAGCCGATGACCGCACGACGCTCCTTGCTACCGCAGAGGCAGCGGCTGCGGCGGTGGCCAAGACGGCCAGGCAGGCAGCGGCTACGGCCCAGGCCGTGATGGCTGCAGCCGCGGCGCTGCGTGCTTAGATGGAGCGGGAGGAGCTGGAGCCAGCGTGAGGAGGGTCCCGCAGCCCAGACAGGCGCCGCCGCCAGTTGCCGTCACCAGAGCGGCGTCGTGGTCGCCGCGGGCGCTCCTCGGTGCTGCAGACGGTCTACCACAACTCCAAAGCGGGAACGCCATGACCGATGCTTACCAAGTCAAACTACCACGAGTGGAGCCTGCTGATGAAGGTCAAGCTACAGGCCCGGTGGCTGTGGGACGTGGTACACGTCGGCGGCGTCAGCTATGACAACGATCGCTGGGCGCTGGAGGATCTGTGCACTGCCGTCCCCACCGAGCTCGGCGCCTCTCTCGCCAACAAGGCCACGGCGAAGCTGGCGTGGGAATCGATCGCCGCGGCGCTCGTCGGCAGAGATCACGTGCGCCAGGCGATGTTGCCGCGCCTCCGAGGGGAGTGGGAAGGCCTCGCCTTTCAGCCAGGTGAGCAAGTCGAGGACTTTGCCCTTCGCCTGACCAACCTGATGGAGCAGATGGCACGCAACGGCGACACCGACCTCACGGAGGAGCGCACGGTGGAGAAATTCCTCCGCTGCATGCTGAAGAAGTACGCGTAGATCGTCATGTCGATCGAGACGCTCCTTGACTTCGAGCAGCTCAGCGTCGAGGACGTGACCGGGAGGCTCAAGGCGGTGCAGGACCGCAAAGAGGGGCCTCACGCCGAGCTCGGTTCCTCCAAGGAGCGTCGCCTTCGGGAAGAAGGAGGAGGAAGGATCCGGACCATCTGGTTCCTCCAAGGAGCGTCACCGGTGACCACGCGGCGACAAGAAGAAGGAGTAGGTCAGGCCTCGGGGCCAGGCAGGCACTGATGGCGGCACCACCAGTGAGCGCAAGGCGACCCAGGATGACACCTGCAACAACTATAGAAGGTCGGGCCACTGGGCCAAGGACTGCCGCCTTCCTCCACGTCGCGGTGGGAAGGCTCATGTCGCGCAAGTAGAGGAGGAGGATGCGGCTCTGTTCCTGGTGCACGGGTGCGTCGAGTCACAGCAAGAGGTAGGGGAGGGGGTGAAAGGTCCAAGCTTTCCCCTTTCCGCATCGACTGGCACCGCACATCTCCACCTTGATGAACCGTGTGCCCACGCCTTCCTCGGCAAAGGCGCAGACAATGACAAGATCGATGGCTGGTACCTCAACACCGGTGCCACGCA